ATACTCTGCTTAACAGTTGTGATAGCGGTACTCCTCCTAGATCATGGGCAAAACCCTACTCACGCTTGTCTCTCTTAGTCGCAGAGTGACCTCTGTCTTTCCAACCTGATTTTTTATTCGGGTGAACCTGGACGCTCCTAGTGAGAAAATCCATTCTCATTTTACATCTTTTTTTTTTTTTTTGTGAGTATTGCCGTAGCCACCCGTTACGGTTTGACGGTGTGGGTCGTTGTTGTGATCGTGGTGCACGGGTTTGTCGTGTTCCATGGTAGTGCCTATCTTTGGACCCCATGTGCTCGGAACAGTGGTTTTGGTGTTGTTCCTCGTGGTTCATTCCGGTTGTGGCCATCGCAGCATCCAAGGTTTACTCACTTGAGTGTTGTATGAACCTGTCCAGGCAGACTGGCCAGATGCGCTGATACAGAAGGAAATTTGACGGAGAGAAGAAGAGTAGTAGGAGAGAGTGGTCATGGTAGGAGAACTCACCTACCTAAGTCGAGTTGCAGGCAGTTTGCAGGTGGCAACAACACGTAACTCTTTACGTTTGTCTTCATCATGGTTGTGTTATCTGCTGTTTCTGGTGACTGTGCTCCGCTGTGCTAAGTAGTTCTCCCTCCCCAACTGCGTGGACCTGGCCTGTCTAGTAGCCAGGTATTTAAATACGTAGGGAGAGAGAAAATGTGCACGAAGATTCACTCTCAACCTGCACAGTTTGGGAGTAACGGCGCAAGGTCGACAACCAAGGCAGCCATAGTGCTCTCGCTTGAAGAGGAAGGTGCATCGCCGAGCGCTGCTCTAAAACGTGGTCATAATTGATTGTTGCAATCCTCATCTTAAGCGTCACAGTGCTCACCGGAGTACTGCTCGCCTTCGTGGTCTTCAGAACGCATGTTGTTTCTTGTCGTCTCTATGCTCCATACTCTCTATTGGTTGTTGTTAGTGAAGGCTCATGTGGTGCTGGTTGTCTGTTGTGGGAGGCTTTATTCACAACGATACGGATTGGCTCGTTGTGAATGTGCCCATGAATTTCAGCTAGACGCTTCGTTCAATGAACCTGGTCATGCCAACAACCAGGTATATCTGTGCTTTGTGGGGGCGCACGAGGAAGGAGTATAAAGACTGGAGTGAGTAACGGGAGCTCTTGGAAGCGAGAAAAACACTTACCTGTTGGGTGCGACGTCAGCCAACCACGGTCTGTTGTGAGAGGTTTGAGTGCGAGCACCGCTGGTTGCAGATTTGAAAGTGGTGAATAGTGGCAAGAAGAGTGAGACCAAGCAGAAGGCAACTGAGTGACGTGAGAACGAGCAGACAACATAAGGCTGAAAGATACCTACCAAGTCGGGTGTATCAGTTGATCAAGAAGGTGCACGACCGCTCTCAACACGGAGAAACCTATCAGGTTCAGACATTACAAGGATTGACAGAGTGAGAACTCTTTCTTAATTTCAATGGGTGGTGGGGCTCGGTTTTCTCCCACTGACAAGGCCAATGGTATCTGAACAGCAAGGCAGTTGCTTCCCAAATCGGTATTTGTCGGTCTCTCAGCAAGGGGGTCTGTCGCTGTTTTTATCCAAGAGTTACGATGAGATTCCTGACTACCGCTTGCTATTGGTTCTCCCAGCGAGCTCTCTGTCAGGTTTTCGGTCGCGATCAAAGCATCCCAGCAGATTGTTGCTACATTTTTTTTGGAAGGTCGCTATTGTTTCTCACAGAGGCTGCTGCATTGCCTGAGAGCTCGTTGGTTGTCATTGGTGGTCTGGTTCAAAGGCTGGTGGGCCGCTGATTGGGAGAGGGACTGCTTGTGTGATCTATCGTTGCCACTACTGAGTATTTTGTGTTGCATTGTTGTATTTTCCACCACACCACTGTTGTGACCCAGAGTTTGTTGCGACAATGACAATCTAAACATAGTGCTAAGTAAGGCAAACGTTGCTACTAGTTTACTTAGCTTGTTGTTGCTTTCACTAAACATTTGGTTTGCAACACTGTTCGGCGGTCTAGTTGTTGCTACGTGCTGCGAGTACTGTGTTTTTGAGTCGCTGTTACAACTACGTTTTCTTTTGCTGCGGCTATACTCGGACCAGTTGGACTGCTAATGTTGCGGCCTTTAGAACAAGTTATGTTAAATTTGTTTGACTAGAGCACCGGGTGTGTTTTATTTGAACGTGGTCTTTCTAAGCTGCATAGCTACAGGGTAGTCAAGAGGAACGCATCGCAACTTGGGGGAGTGGTCAGTATTTGCGCAAGGGTTACAATTGCGACTTGGAGGACTGTCAGAGTACAACCACTTGCGTTTTGGTCGCGGTTCGACCGGTTTCACTACGTTCTTTTGGCCATCATTGCGGGGCCCTCAGGCGCATCAAGGTACTAAGACCCTCTCATGCGAGTTGAGTTTGTCCCTCTCTTGTATCTCGAGCGTTTGAAATCCCTCTTTCTGCCTTTCTCACTCTAAGTCTAGTCTAAGGTTACGAGAGGAAAGCGGCAGGCGAGATTGTAACTCGTAGGAGTATATCAAGACTCTGTGGGAAGTCTGCCCACCGATTGCGGGAGCTCTGACGGAACTTAGGAAGAGTTATGGAGGCAGGGAACCAAGAGGTAATTCTTTAACTCCTTCTATAAACCCCTGCTAAAACCCTTATGAGTACATCTCCTTATGAATGTCTGATTATACTGAATGCATCCTTATATATTTTATGTTTTACTTTCCCGGACTAAGTCGGAATAAACTAAAGAAATGCATGCGCAAACTTCAGTGTTCTTATTTCTTTTGCTTGTTTGAAGTCAGACAGAGAGGGATGAACTGGGGGAAGGTAGAAGAAAGGTAGTTTTGCTTGCAATGATTGATTCTCCTTTGTTTGTTTTTATTTTTTCTGCAGCCAAACAATGTGGCTTCGGTCAAGCTTGATTGCTGTATTGTTCATATTTCTGACATTCAAACAATGTGGCTCCAGTCAGGTCTGATTATCATATTCTTGTAAGTTGTTATCTAAGCAGCCTGACAATGTGGCTTTGGTCAGGCCTGGTTACTGTGGTTATGGTGATTTGCTTGCTGAAAGGGTTTAAGAGTTGGATAATGTGGCTTCGGTCAGATCCAACTACTTGTTTTTTTTTAGGGAGGTTTGGACGAAGGACTAAGCAATGTGGCTTCGGTTTGGCTTAGTCTGAAGTCACACACATAAAGAGGAACCTGATATTACGATTTTCTATATGTATGTATTATACTTTTATTATTGAACAAGCTAGTCAGACAATGTGGCTTCGGTTTGGTCTGGCTATAACTTATCACATAAGGGGAGAGTAATTAACTAAGAATACAACAAAGGTATTTTAAGACAGACTGAGCAATGTGGCTACGGTTTGGTTCAGTCTTCGTCTTCAGAAGATAAAAAAGGTTCATAGAGTTATTATAAATCTGGATATTAGACATTTGAAAGGGCTAGACAATGTGGCTTCGGTTTGGTTTAGCTAACCGCCCAAAGAAGAGAGAAGTAGTAGTGCCCTCTGTTGTGTGTATACAAAGGCAGAGGTTAAGCAATGTGTCTTCGGTTTGGCTTAACCTTTTTATGTCAAATGTAAGCTGGGGTATTGGGGTTTAACTTAACTGAGTGATAATGAACTACTTGTGTGAAATCAACTTGGGAAACTGGTGAGAGTACTTACTCATTGTGGTATGGACTTGCATGCGGTTGAGTTTGAGCTCTACTTGTTCTGAGTCGTGACTTTGATAGGTAGTGCTTAGATGCTCGCCATGTGCTGGAGCTGTAGGAGTTAGTTCAATTCTTGCATTTTCTGAGTTAAGCTTTATTTTTATTTAGTTCAATTTTTGCATTTTTTGGGATCATTTATTTTACTTGGCTTTGTATAAATTTTGGAACGACACTTCTTTTACGGGAAGCGCTGCTGAATTTTATGCAAAATCAAAGGAGTTAGCTAAATTGTTTTTTCATAAAGTTTGATTTTTCTGACTTCATATACGACTTAGTACGATATGGAAAATCTACCTTTCTAGAGAAAATGCTGCCCAAATTTTTATTAATTCAGGGAGTTAGACAAAATTTAACTTTATAAAATTATGATTACTTTTTTATTTGATATTTAGCTTTGTATAAATTCTGCAAAGACATTCTTCCTACAGGAAGCGCTGCCGAATTTTACAAAATCTAGAGGAGTTAGACCGTTTTAGGACCATTGAGAGTTTTACAGTCATCCCTCTCGTAGGGGAGATACTGCCGAAAATTTTTGATATTGTAGACAAATATCAGAGGTGAGGTATGAAAATAAAATTACTTTCTAAAGTCACTCAAACATAGCTTGGGCACTGGCCTGTGTTGTGTTGCAGGTTACCCTTATTTCAGATTGATTCAAGGCTTGACTAGCTCCAGCTTGATCCTACGAGGATCATCTTCTGTTATCTTTTGATAACATGTCGGTTCCCGGCTCAACTCTAATTCACTTACGTTACTCAACCTAAAGGCCTTAGCCTTTGTGGATTGAAATGTTTATTTTGGGTTTTTACCCGGATTTTATTAAATGACCATTTAAAAAAGACTGAGTATTAAATTATGGAAGGTTGGATAAAGGTTCGGTTTGTGTGGCTAAAGCAAGGGGTGTGAGTACAATGAATGGTTAAAGTTGACTCCGTGTAGTGCGTGTTTGTTGGCGTTGACGCTTTGATGTGATTGCAGGTATATCTTGAGAGTTGGAGCCCGGATTTGATTTTGTCTGCGATTATATATATGTACCTTTTTGAAGGAAGTCACACTGTGATTGTGAGAGTGATCGTTTCATATTTCATAACCCTTTATATTTATATTTCTAATGTCCACATGATCATTGGTGTCATGCGTAATAATTTAATATTTATGTATCAAGAGAGAGGTCAAATCCATCTTTTTTTTTTTTTGCTTCTTCGAATTATTATAGTTGGATGTTGGAGTCCGTGACAGCCGTCAAAGTCAAACCCCTTGATTTCTCTTCGGGCCCCGGATGATGGAACTCACCTCCGAGGCCACGAGAGTTGACTGCCACCACAGGCCTAAACCTGTGTACCACCCACTCTCCACAGGGTGCAGAAGAGGGTGTGGTTCTCAACCGCCTTAGAGGTTGTCTAACGTCGAGAGATTGACCCCTCAAGGCGCGTGTTAGCCAACACTAGACTGTCGAAGATGACCATCGAAACCTCCGAGGGCCTCATAATTATGGGTACTACATAGTACGTCATCACTGCGACCGCTTGCGTATTCATGCATGGCTAATCGATATGACTAAGACCCGTGCTGCCGCGACATTTATTCAGAGTTTCGCGTGCGATGCTCGTCTGATCAAAATTAGTAAAAGTTATGGGTCTAGCGTGAAAAAAAGGATTAGGCGCGGTTTACAAATGGAGTTCGATTTTAGCTTTTGTGAGACGTTGTCAAGCGCATCGGTCCGGCACCGCACAGGGCAGCGCGAGACCCTCCCGGCCGTGTCACGCATAAGTTGGTTTAAATCCTTCGTCGCAAATATACATGGAGCTTCTGCAAGCCACTCCGGCCGAGTGCGCTAGTCATACCTCTCGCGAGCCCCTACGATAGGATAGGGCCTACGCGAGGCACGACTTACCTCCACCTTACGGGAACTGTCACCTCCCTTCGGTGGGCGTATCCCCGCCGAGCTATCAGTCCACAGTACGAAAGCTAATCAGTTGCAATCGCAGAGGTTGACCAACCGATGGCGTTTCTCGTTCGCTGTAGCATAGGGGGTACGCGCAGTATTACGCTTCTATCAAACCGCACGCAAACCGACATCTTGGGGGGCTGAAGTCCCAAGCGCGACTCGTCGTCGGTCGACTAGGACGCATCCCACTCACCACGCGCACACCACTCTAAGAACATAAAAACAAAAATACACATACATACGCACGTACATATACATATACAGAACGACACTGAACAAACAAAGCGACAACACTCCTAGTCCCTTAGTATTCATCCCATAACTCTCCGATGTGGAAATCGGATAGGCGTCACGCGCCAGACTTAGTATAAAACCGCGCGGATGCAGGGCTAAGTCATATCGACTCGCAATGCAAGCATACGCAAGCGATCGCAATGATGGCGTACTATGTAGTACCTATACTCACGCGATCCTCGTTAATCTCGAGGTTCGCATTTGACACGCGCCTTGAGGGATTGATCTCTCGACGCTGGACAACCGCCAAGCGCGGTTGAGAACCACACCCTCTTCTGCACCCTGCGGAGAGTGGGTGGTACACAAGTTCATACCCGTGGTGACAATTGCCTCTTATGCCCCTGGAGACCAGCTCCACCATCTAGGGCCTGGAGATAAGTCAAGGAGTTTGACTTTGACGGTTGCCACGAACTACAACGTCCAACTATAGAAATCTCTAAAAAGCAAAGGATGAAAGAAGATCTCTCCTTTCTCACAATCACAATCTATTTAACCCTCATGCATGGTCACAGTAGACCGTGCGAAAACATCAAAGCCATAAACATATATATGACGATATTAGTATAAGACGATCACTTCTCACAGTCACAGTGGGACTTCTCTCAACCATATATATATGTATGTTAGCATAGACAGTCAAATCCAAAGTCCGAATTACCAAGCATACCTGCGATCACATCAAAGATTCAACCAAAAGTCCACGCATTACACGGGATCAACTTCAGCCATTCTCTGCACTCAAACCCCTTGCTTTTAGCCATACAAGCCTCACTCTTGTGCAACTCCGCAAAACAAAATACTAAGTATTTTTCTTTAAATGTTCATTCAAAATAAAGTCCGGGTGAAAACACAACAAAACAGTTCAAATCACAAGGTTAAAGTCTTTAGGTTGAGTGGCAGGAGTGAATCGTAGACGGACGAATCGACATCAGTGATAACAGAAGGTGATCCTTCTAGGATCAACATGAATCTAGCCCAAGTCTTGAATCAATCGATCAAGAAGACCTGTAACACAAGGCATATCAATCCCCAAGCTAAATCTATAAGTCCGTGAAGAATAATCCCCGTATCACGACCTTACTCCAATCATCCTAATTAACTAAGCCGAAGTCTACCTCTAAGCAAGTACCAAAGAAAAGGTAGACCTCTGACAGAATCTTCTCTATATAGAGTGAATTTTTCAGAATCGTCATCTGTCAACAAATAATCTAACTCTTGTAAACTAAGAAAATTTCGGCAGCGCTTCCCGTAGGAAAAATGTCTTTTTAGAATTTATATCAGCCCAAATATGAAAACGTGAATAGTCCTTGACTTCCCTAAAGTCAACTTTTGTTCAACTCCCTGAACTAGTAAAACTTTGGACAGCATTCCCTTTAGAAAAGGAGACTTTCCAGATTTATACTAGGTCAGATATGAACTCAAACATAAAATTTGAGTTCAACGAAGACAAAATTTAACTAACTTCTTAGATTTGCAGAAATTTCGGCATCGCTTCCCGTAGAGAAAGTGTTATTCCAATATTTATACAAAGCTAAGTTTATAATCTGAAATGAATTTGACTCTTCAAGGTCCAATTTTGTCTAACTCCCCGAATTAGCAAAAAATTTGGCAACACTTTCCTTAGAAAAGAAGGTTTTCCAGATTCTTACTAAGTAAAAAAACCAACAAGAACTGGATCCTGAAAAATACAAAGTTTAACTAACTCCTTGGTTTTGTAGAAATTTCGGCAGCGCTTCCCGTAAAGAAAGTGGCTTACCAAGATTTATACAAGACCAAAGTACAATAAAAAATCCTAGAAAATGCAGAAATTGATCTAAGTAAAATAAGCTTAACTCAGAAAATGCATGAATTGAAACTAAACTCCTATGGCTCTAGCACGTGGCGAGCAACTAAAGCAACTACCTATCAACTGAAACTCAGACTAGGTAGTGACATCACTCAGTTACATGCAGGCTAAACCACAAAGGTAAGTACTCTTACCATCCCCAAGTTAACTTAGCAGACAATAGTTCATAGCCATTCAATGATTTATCCTCTTATACCCAGCTTACATAGGGCATAAAGCTAGACCACCCAAACTTATGGAACATGTCTAGCCCAACCATGAAGTATACACAAACACAGAGCACAACAACTTTTCTCTTATTTGGGCATATGACTAGGTCATCTTAGTCGCCTTAAAGTGTTTAAATATCCCAACTTTATATAATTATTTGCACTTAGTCTTTTGAGGTAGCATATAACTTAACCGATCATCTTCAGCTCAAGATTCAACCTGCCCCTTCGTACCACGAGTTTATTCTTAATTAATACTCTCTTCAGTTGGTGATAGGCTATAGTCAGACCACCCAAACTTATAGAACCCTGTCTCACGAGTTTGTTCATAAATAATATAATAATAAAGTATAATCAAATTATAACCTTCTGGTTCCAGCATGTGCGAGGCGTTGGACCAAGACCACCCAAACTTAAGGAACATGTCTTGGTCTTCAGCCTAGTTCATTTCTCTCAAAGCCAAGGCAAAAAGAAATCGACAGAACCCCAAAGTAAACAAGGCGACCAAGCCACCCAAACTTATAAAACATGTCTGGTCCTCCAGATAATCCAAAATAAACATAGCACTGGGTCTTCCCAAACTTATGGAATTGGCCCAGCCTTTGATTGACCCAGTAAAACACATGCAATACAACCTTTCTCCCATCCTTCCCCCAGATGCAACTGCACAGTCTGTTTTCAGTCAGACAATGAAACTGAAATTGACATTGTACATGCATTCCTTTACTTAGGCTGGTTATGTCCTGAAGGGAAAACAAAAATCATAGGAACAGGCATGCATACGCCAATCAAACTACAGGGGGAATAGGCAAACATGGGTATAGCGGGTTATACAGATAGAGATAGTTTACCTGATGGTTCCCTGCCTCCAGAACCTCGCCTAGGTTCCGGCAGAGCTCCCGCAATCGGTCGGTTGACTCCCCACAAAGTCTTGTTGCGGTCCTACGGGTTGCAATCCCGCCTGCCGCCTTCCTCTCAGAACCGGATTAGACTTAGAGTAAGAAGGGCAGAATATAGGGATTTCAGACTCTCGAGATACAAGAAGGGGACAACTCAACTCTCAGGAGAGGGCCTTGATACCTTCACTCGCCCGAGAGCCCCCCAACGGCGGCTAGAAAACAACAGCTTGGTTAACTCTAAGGCAAACTGCCAAGGCCAACCCTCTGCTGACCTCCCAAATCGCAGCACTAATCTCCCTCATCAAGCTCAATCACCCCTCCGGACCCCCACACTTCTCCTTAGTCCAATCGCCGCTATACAGCAGGCCGTAGTAGTTGGTAACAGTTCGCGGCAGTGTGCAACAACTCGCAGTAATCAACCGCAGGCAGCAGTCGTTTGTGCACAGTACACAGCAACGAGCAGCAGTGCACGGCGGCAGTCTTCAGCAACTCGCAGTCAAATACAATAGTAGCAGTCACCAGCAGCAGCCGTCCCCACATAGTCCACTGCCGCAGCGGCAATACACAGTGGTGGCCAGCAACAACAGTAGCAGTCCATGCCCACAACTTGACACCGCTGATCGCGGACTCCTTGAAGACTGTCAAAATCTCAGCAGTATCCCCTCCTCTTCAACAACCTCGAGCTTCCCACATCTCCAACCCTGCCGGGTAGGTACTTCCTTCCCTCCTTTCCTTCGGGGCATAGTGCTTGTACTAAAAGCGACTTCAACTGCAATCAGTAAGACTTCATTCCCGGTCACTTCCGTGTTGATGCTACTTCTTCGTTATACAGAATAACGCGCCGGACGGTAAGTCATAAATCACGCGGCTTTCCTCACGCTTGACAGACATGTCCCTGTACTCACGGCTGCCCCGACGTTACTTCCGTGGGTAGGATGAGTAGCCCGGCAGTGGGGCAGCAAAGCCCAAGATCGTACCAGCAACACGGCGGCACGGCCACACCGCATACCGCACATATCAATCTGCATAGCCCTTATGCGATGCATGCGGGACCCAGGCAAGAGTGCAGCAGCGGGGCGCAATCGAGGACACCCATACGGCCGACACGGAGCAAGTTAGCAGTTGACCAACTCGCATC